ACAAGAAAGCGCTAGGGGCTTCTGGGGACTTACCTGCGCACTAATCTGTGTATGACACTACACACAACATTATTTAATAATTGTTTTTAATTATTAAGTAAACCGTTTGACATTGGTAATGATAACAGAAAGTATTTTTCCCAAATTCTTTTTAGCCCGGGATTAACAAAGAGTTCTCTTTTTGATTTTAACTCAGGGCATTGCATTTTCTGAATTTTATCATCACATTTGTAAAAAAATCATCTCTGTTTTGCGACCATTTCCAATACTTCTTGTATTTCTGCAAGACATTGCGTGCCAAATCATTTGCAATCGCTGTGACTCGTTCACGAAACAGCTCTCCTTCCTACTGCATCATTACAAATATTCTTTTTGTTACGGAATGAGAGGACAATGAATTGCGAGTGCCGGCACTGAAGGAATCATCACTGCATTAATTTAAGCATCCAGTGAGAGAGGGAGCTTACCCACAAAATTAAAAAGACCGATTTATTAATAAATTCAATGTGTTCATAATCAATTCGTCTTCTATATTATGTCAGTGGTATACATTTCTTTTGCGGCTCTCGCACGTAACAAATCTTTATAAGTGAGGTCTCTAAAGGAAGAAACATTCACGAAGACATAACTGATTGCACTCTAACTTTAAAAATGGAGAATTTGTTGCACGGGTGGACCTCTCAGTTCGGTAATAAAGTTAAATAATATGCCGAAGAGTGGGGTTAGGCTTGCCCGCTCCTGTATTTTTGTATGGACAACTTTAAGCAGCTTTCTCGAGAGTAAAACGCTTTTGTAATATTTTTATGGCTATCAAGGAAAGCGAAAAGCTAACTTTCAAGGAAGATTGTATTATTACTCGAAATGCTCTTGTAAAGGAAGTGTAGTGAATTGTTTCAAGAACATGTCTATAACACTGAATAAATCTTTATTCAAAATTACTTTAAAACTTATATTTCAATGTTAATTATTTTAATATTTTATTCTACAAGTATATTGGAAGTTACCTTTTTAATAAAGGTGTTGTGGTGCGTTATCGTTGGCATTTTTCATGAAATAATTATAAATGTTGTCATTGCCAACAATAGTATAGTACAATAGTAAGGTACTATTGTTGGCAATGACAACGTTTATAATTTACCTTTTTAAACAAATAAACACGTTTCGTTAACAACTTCCCCTCATAATATGGAAAAGGAAAGATAGGGAAGAGGGTGGAATTTAACATGCGAGAGTTCTCGCACGGGTACGCTAGAAGGTACATAAATCGATATTTTGAATTTTTTGGGTTAGCTCCCTCTCTTACTGGACGCCTTAACCGTTAATCATGCAATTTTCTACTTTCACAAAATATAAATGTGTAGTTTAACTATTTTAAAGATAAGTGTCAAAAATATGAAAATCGCATTATATATTTAAGACCTACTGACATAAAGACACTCCTTCACTTTTTCAGTTTATTTTTCCCTCAGACTCAAAACTAAGAAAGTCAAAGAGTAGATACTATAGGCCTGGATTAATGAAACATGCTGTAAAACAGAACACTTAATTTATTCTCCTTTAAGTTACTTTCGATGCACATCGTCAAATGATACAAAATTAAGAACTAAAAACACAGTAATGAGAATGCAGTTCTTAAATAGTCTAATAGACAGCACAACTCATCAGGTGCATTAGTATCTACCAACCCCTATGTAAGAGGAGCAACACAACATAGTTGAAGAGAACAGTTTTCTAAAAGGTGCGTTGGCACAAGTCACTTATGCAACACAAAGTTACCCTCAGTTTACTGTGATAAGTTGTTATTGTATTCTTGAAAATTGTTTTTGATTAAACATTTAATTTATTACAGTGTTGTACTAGAGTATTTTCTTTACTTTATGTTGTACTTTGCGGGCTACTCTTTGGAAAAGCACTTTGTGTAGTTTTATCCGGCAACATGTACGCTGCTGCAACTCACTAGCATTTATTAGTAGCTTTGAATGTGTGAAACAATTGAAGGAAAAAACTATTCTTCTTCCGACCATGTGAGAGGTGTATGTTTTTTAGATACATAGGAAAATACAAAAAAATGAAATAGTTTTGATTTTGACTAAAAAATATTAATATTTAATAAATATTTTTCAAAAACCATTTCTCGTTCAATATTCTTGCTACTGCAGACCACTAATGGTCTCTGTTCAGATATTTAGTCTAGTTTCGTACAAGAGAAAAGAAAACATACCTGTAAACAATCCTTTGGGACAGGATCTCCGTTTTCGCTTTGCATGTCCACGCATTTCCATTCAATCGTTGTTTCCTGTTCAAAGTTGCGAGCTTCCAGCCAAATGCTCACTTCTGCAGGGATGTTCAAAGATCGAGGTGGTAGGTACACCTGTAAACAAACGCATTGCTTTGCATTAGAGCAGGTCTGTTGGCACTAGTCCAAGCAGTGGTATCGCTTTTAAAACTCAGTAGTACATCTTCTCTGCCCTTCATTGCTTTTTAAAATTAGTGGTACTAAAACAGCACATTCTTTCTCATCCTTAGTAATGCTTAAATAATACTGTTTATACCGCAATTTCTCTCTGAATGCACACATCTCAGTCATAATGGTTTGTAAAACTTATTACAAATAGGTGCAAAAACAAAATACTTTCAAGCTCATATCAACACAAATTCGACAATTATAACTGCGTTTCATACCGCTAAATCATGACCAGCATAGAATTCCATTAAAAAACAATGTTGACCTTTTATCTCTGTAGTAAAATGATATTTCAAAGACGAATTATGGTGTACCCCAGTAGCCCGTGTTAATGCAATCACCTGTCCAAACGGCATCTTCGTATGTTGCCCAGTTCAAGGGATACAAGAGTCGCTATCAGATAATTGTTCTACTCTGTATATGCAGTGTTCGTGAAATATATTTTTTGCCAGAATTTTTAATAAATTTTAGTGATATACGAGATAGTTTTTTTCGTTCTAGAATAGTGTACGTGGTGCTTTTTGGATAACATTTTGTGTACATTTTTCAGCAGCAGATGTTCTGTGGAGGCCATTAGTACTTGCCTAATAAGCAAATAAAAATGTTTATAAAGAGTATTTTTATAATTTGCAGATTTGGGTATAGCATGCCTTATGGATGCAATCAAAGAGTGTGAAATACTTGATACACTAAAGTACCTTCTTGTTCTTCTAAATACGTATCGATCGATTTATCAATATGTTTGTTGTATAATGTGATGAAAAACAATCCAGGTGTGTCCAACAAAGCAAAATATCTAAAGGATTTTTTAACACGAAAGCGGTGTTTTTCATTATCTCAAATCGTTAAAATACCCAACCTTAATTTAAAAATGACAAAATAAACGACACGTACACAAAAAAGTAAAAAACCTAGCGACTAGCTAAAGAACGAGACCGTAAATGCAGCGTCGTTATGACCTCGTCGGGCTTGGCGGTGAGCGAGGGCCCCTCGAAGTCGCCGTGCAGTTGCAGCTGCAGCAGGGGCCGCTTCCTCCAGCCGCGCCGGCAGGCGAACACCGGCACGGACAAGTGCGCCTCGCCGGGCTCACGCGGCTCGTACTTGATCTCGAAGGGGCTGCTCTCGTTCATGCCCAGCATGACGGCCAGCATCGGCTCGTCGTCGTCGTCCTCTTCGTCGGGCGTCCTCAGCGCGCCCATGTCGGAGCTCTTGGACACCAGCGACACGCGGTCGTCCAAGCAGCTCATCACCGACTCCTTGGGCAGCAGCCCGCACGGCAGCTGCGTCAGCTGCATGCGGAGCGCCCCCTTCGCAACCTGCAGAAGAAGACCTTTGGATGTCAACGCCGGCCTCAAGCCAGTTCACAGGTCAGGCCCTCTCGTCCGTGGATGATGATTCTGACCATGCCAATGCGGGAGCCGTTCCCTATCAGAACCCACAGTCACGCAACGCGCGCGATCTTTCTTTCCTCATCATTGTACCGTCCTCTACCCTTGAATACACGCACTTGCACTTACACAGGCAGTAAACTACCACTCATGTCGGAAGCTTAGATTTGCTCCAACCTGGGCGGTGTCCCGTTTAGAGAGATACCTCGGGGAGAGAAATCCGATAGCCAAACGGTAGGTCAGTGCTGGATACCACGTTCTTGTGATACCCGAAGGAGAACACCGCCATCTCCTGGAATATAACGTGCACTGCACATACAGGATTCATGACCATAACAGAACAAAGAAATAATAACCAATCAGTCATTCCAACTTTGGCGTCACCTAGAAAATTCGAGTTGGTGCGAAATGGATATTTCCTACACAAAGGGATGCATTTTCTGGAGGTGATCCCCCAAATTGGAATGAAAATATGAATGGGCTGAAGTTCAATCACAAACAAATTTTGTAAACAAGTTAAAAACCAAACAGTTTGCAATTTTTTTATTGTATATTATGCATTATGATATTATACATTCAGGGAGAGATAACAATTTACCTTGTAGAAGATCTACGTGAGTGAACCTACATAAATACGAATAAGAAGATCATATTAACTTCTGCAAACTCGTTACTATAGTTACTTATTAAAATACTGTGCAGCGTTTCTGTAATGATCTAAAATAATAATTGTAAAATTCACATTATTTGTGCTTAAAAATCAGAATAGGTAGAATTTGTTCGCAAATTCGCCCAGATATCATTTTTGATGTACGCTCCAATTAACTCTTTCGATGTAGAAAGTATTTTGTGCATTCAAAAACATTTATTTTTGATAAAAAGAATGAATTTGACAAAGTAAAATTTAGAGAAATGTTAAGTGTTCACTGATACAAAAGGCAATAGAACAAAAAACATACAAAACTAAAATTTAATTTGTAAAAAATGTTTTGTTAACTTTTATCCGGCATTGTGTGTTTGTCTATTTGGTAATGCGTATTTCAGCATTTGATAGTGCATGGAAATCCTGCCTCTTGTGATAGCAAATGCAGTAGAACCCCTGTAATTCAAACTAATTGCGCATGTTGTGTGTTCGGATTATTCGAAAAAAAGAACCGTAGATATACAAATATATCTTCAGGATTACCAGACACAATAGAACGAAGCTGCGATGTAAGAAAATGGCAACGTAGCGTAGTGACATGAAATGACAATGTTGCGAACAAAAAGTACATAAGTGGGTTGAGAAAATACATAACCGATCGTATGCGGTTGTATGTGCTACATTGTTTAGAAGAGTTTTAGCACAGTTTTTGTCGCTGCTGTTAACGAGTATTAAACAAACAGTATTCAGATATGGGTTGATTTACATCACGTTCATGTTTTTTCGTTTACAAATTTGTACAAATCAAGTGTTGATTTTTCTTTGTTCTTTCCTCCATTCCGAATTTTGTTCGGATTATTCGTGATTTCGGATAAAGCGGAGCTCTACTGAAGAATCAGCACTGACCTCGCACGCCATAGTGCGTGACGCTCCCAGGGTCATGGTGGCTCCAGCGTTGGGCCGGATGCTGAAGGGCGTGTCTCGGAAAACCGACAACGGAATCCACACATCCACAATCTCTTTCTGCGGGTTGACTATCTGCACACCAGGTCGGACACGTTACGTACTACGAGCGCTTCGAATATAAGAAAATAAGGTGTAGTATATCCAACCACTATGTAGACAATACAGAACACTTGGAACCTTTCTCATACTTTAATGGAAAGCTCACTAGAGAACCTAGTGACATGACCTGCTTCTAATGGAGACTAATTCAAATTTCAATTCATGTACAAGTAAGTGAACTAAAAATCGTTCAAACGTATGCACTTTGTATTTGAAATCACAATAGATATGACAGGTCGGCCACTAGGGTCGCTAAGTGTGTCTCCCTTTATATCGCTGAGTGGCATATATATTATCTCTATAGTATTTGTTATACGGCATTTCAAGACATTGAAATTTGATTATGCCTCATAATAGTCGGTAAAATCTTAATAAAAATGAACTCAAATGGTGTTCTAAAACAAATGTAATATATTGACACACATAAATACCGTAATTATAGTACGTTCGCATTAATACGAATTCCAAGGGGCTGAAATAATCATTGTTCGTGTTATTTTAGGTACTTATGAAAAAAATAGTTTTATTCAATTATTATACAGTATATCCAATTAACTTTTGCTTTTCGAAGTCCGGAATCATTTTCCTTACCGGGATCCAAATCCTGTTCGTGATAAAACTAGTTCGCACTACCAAGTAATTATTATATAAAATATTAACTATAATTATTATTAATACTGTTAATTTTGTTACTATCATTAATTGCAACTTTCAACGTTTAACGAAATTCGTAATGCCCCTGAGTTCAAGTTCGATCCAAGAACCTTTGAGTTCCAAGGTACCGGTAGGGAATGTGATCAATGCCCAACAGTGCGAAATTTTGGATATGATATGCTTCTTCTTTTCCACTTCAAAGATATGTCTATGACCTGTTCCGGCTTCTAAGAATTCCATCTCTTTAGGGGTCTACCTGGATCTCTTCTGCCTTGAGGCCTATACTTAAACACCTGGAATTCGAGTCTCTTCCATTCTTTCCATATGTTGTAACCATTCCTGCCTGCAACATTGTACCTTGTCATTTATTGCTTGGACGTTTAATTATCTTCTAATTTCCTTATTTCTGAGTTCATCTAGTCTGGTAAATTTTTTTACAGATCTCAAGTATTTCATTTCAGGAGACTGTAACGCCTGTTAATCTTTCTCTCTCACAGTCCAGCATTCAGTTCCGAACAACAGAGACGGGACAGCCATTACTTTATATATCCTCATCAGAGTATCTCTGCATATTTTATCTTTAAGAGTTCGCATAATATTGCCGCATATATTCTAGTACTTTTGAATTTTTTCATCTAGTGTATAACCATTTCAGTGAGGAACGTTATGTTGAAGCTCAAATATTTAAAATGGCTAATTTTTTCCAACATCGTATTTTCCAAAATTATTTTGGTGCGTATAGGATGCTTGCCCACAAATGTCATTGTATTGGTCTTCGTTTTTGAAATCTTTAGATTATCCTTTGCAAGTCTGGTTTAATTGATGGATAAACCTCTGTAAGTCACCCTGACTTCCTTGGATTATAATTTGATCATCAGCAAATAGGAGTACGCTCCATTTCTTAGTTTTATAATTTTCAACCCACTGACTTTCTTTTATAATTTTCAAATTAGCTGTGTCTTTTAATTCACTATTGATATGCCTAAAGACTTTATATGGTAGTTGTTGTCTGCCATGAATGTCATTTTCTAATTCTCTTATGAATCTTTCCCATGCTGATTGGTGAGCATTTCTAACTATTTCTATGGCGATTTTTTCTTTTCTTTCAGAAAAAAGAAAAGATATGACATGCTAATCCTAGGGTTCCCAGAAGTTTA